TATTTATCAATAATTTTTGTATTAGTGCGCGCGCGTGAGTGCGTGTGTGCGTGCGTGCGTGCGTGCGTGCGTGCGTGCGTGCGAGCGAGCATGCGTGTGTGCGTGCGTGCGTGCGTGCGTGCGTGCGTGCGTCCTTGCGTGCGTGCGTGCGTGCTTGCTTGCGTGCGTGCGTGCGTGCGTGCGTGCGTGCGTGCGTGCATGCGTGCGTGCGTGCGTGCGTGTTGCGTGCGTGCGTGCGTGCGTGAGTGCGTGCGTGCGTGCGTGGCGTGCGTGCGTGCGTGTGTGTGTGTGTGTGTGTGTGTGTGTGCGCGCGCACATATATTAATTCAATTCCTTATTATTTAACTACGAACCCTAAAAAAAGGTTATCGATACATTATAATATTTCGGGGGAATATTTTTTTTTTTTCAAAAAGAGAGCTAACTTGCGATCTTCTTTTTATCTAATACTACCTGGTCCACGGCGCGTCGTTGCTGCAAAAGAAAGTATTGCGCAAAATCGGTCTAAATATGGAAGAGTTATAGGTATTACTTAATTAGGAATGACAATACTTTCATTGAAGTTGAATGCTATGAAAATTTCAAATAAAGGAGACGGTCCATTTCAGGCCCAGTCTATGTACACTAGTACACTATACCGTAAAAAAAGCGAAAAATTTTGGGATTTTATTAAAAATACAATAAAAGAATTAATCCAACTAAATGACTTGCTAAAAATAAAAATGCAATCCCAATTTTTGATGATTTTACAAGATGGCGCCCTTCCACTCATAAAACTATATTATGTTAAATGTCATGTGTGACATGTGACTTAAGTCTTGAAATAATGTAGGCAGTCCGATATTTTTTGTTTATTCCGAGCTTGTTCTTGTATTTGTGAACTCGTGAATGCGTTTGATGTGTTCTTTTGGATTACTTTGGCGATTTATTTTTGTAATGATTTCTTATATTTACGCGAACACTATACATTGATTAAAACTACTTTTACGGATTTTATCGCGTTTTATTTATATTAATTTTAATACCCGACGTTTCGGGTGCTTTCCAGCACCCATGGTCACGGGGGACTGAGGTGACTGACGTCCCGATGTCAAAGTTAACCCGGAGTACCTTCAGTTTTTTAATTATTGTTTTTGGTCCGATCTACGCAGAATGAACTAACTGTATGTTGAAGTCTTGCAGTGGTATGCTTGGGTTTAGTTTTAATTTTATTAATTATAGGATCCCAAGCAGGTGGTAGTACCCAGCCTCCTACTCTATTGAAATGTTTTTTTAATTTCAATAGCCTCACGTATCATCCTTGGTAGGAATCGATTTTCTTTCGCGAGGATTTGTGGTCTATCAAATCTGATCCCCCCTAAGGTACCGTGGACATGTTGACAGGTCCAAGTTTTGTGACCGCTAAGTACAGAGGACATGTATACATGTCCGCGTTACGTGCTACTATTTTCGTCATTAATTGATATAAAAATACAGTATATTTTCGATTGAACACTATTTCATTCGATTCTGAACGAACTAAAGAATATTCTGTAGCATTATATTCACTCGGTTACATAGACATCATCAAATATAACAGCCATTCGCTTTTGCGTGCCGGTACGGTGGGTTGCGTAATCGTTGAAGTTTTGTGATTGTGATTTTAGTTGGATTTTCTTTCAAAACAACTGTAAGTAATGTTATTTATCTTTACTACGTAATGTTTTTGAATGATCTAAGTTACAACAACAGTAACTTTTTATGTTTCAATTGATAAAAAAGTAGAATCAAAAACCTCTACGCGAACAATTCATAACGGTCAAGATTTCTAATAAGATAATAATAGTATATTTCTTATTCGAATACCATAGTAAATACTTTTACTAGGAATTGCTAAATGTTATATCTATATGATTGTATAAGAAAAATAAAGGAAGACGCTATAATATATACACAAAAAGGTTTTGAAAATGAGGTTACAAAGCGCGCGCAAACTGTCTATTGTCGAATTTTTAGCAAATGTTTGCAAGTGAAAAAGTAGAATTATTATAATTATTACATGCATAATTTTGATTCATTTAGGAAGAATATGTTGTATTAATTGTAAGGACATAAAAATAAAATAAAAACTTACGATATTTCATTCATAAAACAAAATTTATTGTCAGTAAGTACACTTTATAAAAATCCGTTAGAAACAAAGAGCTGTACATAATAAAATAAACATTTAAATGTTATGGTTATTGTTTCTGCTAATCGAAAATCTTATCGGATTTAAATAACTGTAACTAAAACCTCTTTAAACATAAATGAAAGGTCGTGAGAAACATAAATATTTAAAACAAGTGCCGCCAGCTGAGGTGATGACAGAGGCCGCCGTACAAAGCTGTTTTTTGTTATATGGCGGGCGCAGTAAGGGAAAGGGTAATGGTTGGGGCCATCTAGAATATGATCGCAAACTGCAGACTTCCCGGAACGTTGATGCTTCACGTCAGCTATGTGTTCTTTTACGCGGGTTCTGATTGATCTCTTTGTTTGCCCTATATATGAGAGACCACAATCACAATCAAGCTTGTACACTCCTGCATCTTGTAGAGGAATATGACACTTGACGGATGGTAAGAACTGACTAATCTTCTTCGGCGGCTTGTAGAATGTTCTAATAGAAGCTCGCTTCAAGATGTAGCCAATCTTGTCTGTGACACCTCTGATATATGGTAGTCACAATCACAGTCGAGCGTGTGCCTGCTATACTACCACATGTCAGAGGTGTCACAGACAAGATTGGCCACCCGAAGCGTCAGGTATTAAAATTAATATTAATAAAACGCGATAAAATTCGTAAAAGTAGTTTTAATCGATTTATTTTTGTTTTATTTGGACTTTGGATCTGTTACTGCTTGTTTGACTCGGCTTTTATTTTATGGGCTTCATGATTTAAGTGAGATTTTGATTTCCTTGATATCGGACATCTGTAGAATTACATTTTGAATTACTAGTCAGGTATGTAAAAAATTATGTTTCTTTAAGTAATTAAACGCATTTGAATAACATGCTTCTGTGTGTAATCTGTTAACAATCAAAAAATAAATAATTATTTTCTCCATAAGTTCATAATGGCTGCATAATATTAATATAATGTAATTATCTTTCAGTTCACCTGTTAAAACATGTTGCACTGTTTAAAATGTGTGTGTCTTGAAAATCTAAGTCAATTGGTAAGAACGCATATACTTTAATCATTACAGTTGACTGGCAATATCTAGTCCAACGGATATGTCAGTTTTTTATATATTGCAGTATTTAAATATGATTGTTTTCTTTTAGATGGATGAGAATGGACCAGTATGTTCACAATGTTTTGCAAACGTATTGCAAGAATTATCTGTCGGTACAGATCATGGATATGGTCTTCAGCGCCTTAATGCCAATAGTACATGTATATTGTGTATTTGGTGTCAACGGAGACTGGGTAGCGTACGCTGTCACTCTATTTCAGCGGGTCCTGAAAGATATTTTATGTCTGAGAGGAGTTTCCAAGACAAGTTAGTATTTACGTTTATATGTTAGGATTACTAATCTAAATATTAATCATTCCAGAAGTAAAAAAAGTATCAAATGTTTATTTTCTTTTATGTAGAATTAGGGTTATAAACGGGCACACAGTCCATCGAATGGTAAATGGATTCTGTGGCCTATAAACATCAGTTTTGATTAATAATAATCAAAATGCAGATGGGTTGTCAGCCCTGAGGACTATGACGAAATGCCTCGTTTTCAGTAAAAATAGTCTCCGTTTCTCTACACTCACTATACGAAACACAGCAGCTTAAAGCTGCCATTTCACGCTGGTATTCTGTGAGAGCGTGGCATTCCCCGGTCGAACCGACCCATTATTTGCTGCACGTGGCTCTTATTCTCTACGATAAGAGTAACAAACGAGCACACAATCCACCTGATCGCAAGTGGTTTCTGTGGCCCGTAGACATCTGGGCACATCTATCCTTGATTACAAATTGAAATGCATATGCATTTTCACCCGTTAGGACTAAGACGGAACCACTCACAGAATACCAGAAACCTGGTATTCTGTGAGAGCGCGGTCCTTCCCCAGTCGAGCCGACCCATTCGTGCTACTAATTAATATACTACTTATATAGCTACAGCATGGCATTACGTGGTATGATAGGTATTATATTGTTACAGATACCTGAAAGTGCAGTGGTATGTCATCTTTGTTGGACAGAAACTCAACAAACATTACGTAGACAAGGAGTTTCATATACACCATCACCTAATACAATTGTATGTGTATGGTGTCTTCGGTCACTAGCCAACACACGCAGGCACTCAATACCAGATGGCCCAGACTAAATGAAATTATAGCTAGAATCCATCCTAGGGAGGTAACACTTTATGTATTTTCTAAGTCTATATGTACTAAATAAAAATGCGTCGTTTTATTAATCTAACAGTATTTTTAAACTTACTGTCCTGTTTTAAATAGATACTTGAAATACTTTTCTAGTTTGAATTATTTGACAAATAAAAGTATGAAAATATAAATTATTAACTTTTGCCCGTGACTTTGTCCGTGTGTAATTTGGATTAAAAATCGCTCGGGACCTCTGTGATTTTCCAGAATAGAAAGTCGCCTACAGGTCCTCAACTATACCCAGGCAAAAAATCACTATGAACCCAAAGCTCTTTTACAGCATGGTTGAATGACAAACCAACAAACAAACACATTTTCGGATTTATAATATTATTAAGGATATTTTACAAACCTAATATTTCCAAAAATAAAAAAGAAGTAAAACATATTTATTTATTATTGGTGCCACAGAAAACCAATATACTAAAGTAACATTAATCGTCTGTGACCCAAAATGGGTGTAAAGCTGAGCGTATTGCCTTGCATCATATATTAAAATTATCATATATAAAATATAAAGTAAAGAATGCTGTAATGTGCATTTATATAATTAATAATTTAAAATATTCGTTATAATCCCCTACAGATTCCTTCTGGCGGATTCGTCTGTTATGCATGCTGGGTTGCAGCGTGTAGAAATGCAAAGAGCTACTAATGTTGAGGAAGGGCATCAAAATCCAGGACTTTCATATCAACATTATGAAGCTGACTGTGTGTGATGTAAAATGTCTTTATTTTAAAGGCACGTTCGAATTTAATTGTATCCCTGAAAGGGATATAGTGGCACAAAGGATTTATCCCATTGAGGTAATTAAATATGGTGTATTTTAGATTTTATACAAACCTTCTAATAATTATTTTACTTGAACAGTTTTGAGTTAAGCAATTTGTTTGTATGTATTATCATTGGTTCATATTTTCATCGTACATTATTAGACCTTTGCCTGTCCACTACTGGGCATAGGTTTCTTCTCAGGAAGTGAATGGTTTAAGCTTGACAAGCTACACACACTTTTAAGATCTGTATTGAGAATTCTTAAGTGTGCAGGTTTTCCTCTATGTTTTTATTAAAGTAAATATATGGTATATAATTGCTTAAACCACACATAGAACGCAAAGAAAAGTAAGAAGTGCATGCCAGGGATTGAACCCAGTCCGGAACGCAATTCTAATTTCATCGAAAAGACGACTGAAGTCTTAACTACTAAGACGATGCATATCCTAATATATTAATATACCTACTAAGATATGTCATATATTAATTCACTAAGACTATCGCCGTTCATGGTCAATGGTTCATTTGTGTAGTTTTAGTTTTTAAACATGTTGTTCAGAACAAGTTAGCTTTACTTACATAGTTTCTGTTTCAGTTACCAGAACATGCCGTCTTATGTGTTGATTGCTGGGCACAGACGCAACAATATTCGCGAATTGCTGAAGGCAGGGCAGTGCAGTCTGGAACACCTGTAACCTTCGATAAGCCTGGCAGATGATTATAAGCATACACCAAATTCTAGTAGGCATTGTTTCGTTCCATTTTGTACGAACCCAGAGAGGTTCATTGTGCCAGATTTTTTAAGACAGAGAATTCTGTTCTGTGAACCGAAGAATTCTGTGACAAACAATATTTGGTTATTTCTAAAGCACTATATTGTGTAAAATGATGTTCACAACAAGATGCGTAAAATTGTGAACACTCTATATTTTGCGTGTACCGCGGTATGCCGTGGAATAAGGTGTCCATAGAACCTAAACCGACCTACTGCTTATACTATGGAACGGAGTTTCGTACCAAAATCTCGTTTCGTAATTCCGAGTCTCAAAAATGCAAGAATTTCGCATAGATTATATGTAGAATAATACTTAAATATAAAATCTTCGTAAATATATTCAAAAACTTGCTAAAAATACACCGAATTGTATATGAATTTAAGTATTCCTTCTTACCTTTTCCATAGAATGAATTAACAAAATACATAAATAAATTACATTTGACATGCTATAATTATTAAATGAAACTCAAAGCCATACCTCGGAAATCCATTGTCGTTTTACGTTGTCAAATCTTACTCGGAAAGGGCCTAATCACAAAAACAACCATGAAAAATAAAAAAGAGTTCAAGTACCAAAATAATCAAACACTCACTACTTTAATGCTACAAAGTCGAAAATGTATAAAGCGTGGGTTCGGACCAGATGCTAACGTAAAACTATTACTATCTTTGATGATATGACTGTTTTGAAGTTATAATATCAATTGAATAAGAGATCTTGCAGGAAAAAGGAACCTTGTAATCGCTCGTACACTCAGTTTTTCTAAATACTTCAGAATGTGGTGCCAAGCTTAGAACCCACTGAAATAAGGTGCTTTTACCTTATTTAAATCTTTAATACGGGTTTATTTTATAGAGGCTTCAGTAATATTTACAAAAAATTAAAGAAAATCCATCGTTATAAATATATTCAGTTCTCTTCATTTTAAATACGAAATTATTATTCATTTCACATCCTACATTACTTATATGTTAGTCATAATAATCTCTCTTAGACAAAAGTAGCACAAGACGCTAGACGAAACCATGATCTGTGAAAAATAAGTGGCGTGTTTATGAGGAATCTTGTATTCCGCAGTAAGTTATGCACTCTCATAAAACTCTCGACGGTAAATAGACATCTGCACAGCACAGGATTATAGTGCACGAGTGTGTGCGTAAGCGTAGGTGCATTTCCTAATCCTTCACTCTCATAGTCGATTGGGCGGTAGTCTGACTCGACCGGACAGAAATGATGTGCAGGACGAACGCGTGCTAACTGCTAACGCTGCACACTGCTAACTTCCAAACTCCGAGCTGCTACTGCGAAGTTTTTGATTCAAAAACAAGACACATGATCAGCAGTCGTGTTTACACCCACTGAACTAACGAGGCAGTAGTGTAGCCCATGTAAGCCGCGCTGCTGGGAATAGGCCATCAGCTCATGAGAAAGTGCTTATTTATCTTATGAGATGCTTGAATATTTGATGATGACTACCACGTCGGTATAGTGGTTGTAAACGCGATTGCTGATCATAAGGGTTTTTTATAGAATAGGGTTGACAAACGAGCACACAGTACACCAGATGGTGAATTGATGCCGTGGCCGTTCGATAAAAGATGATTATCGAAAACTATTTGCATTTTGTAAAATTATACCTATTCACGACAAAGTTGAACTAACATTACTAACTGAAAATTACTTTACTGAAAATTTTAAAAAGGTTGATAAGTTATTATACTCCGCACGCAGAACTGATAATCTAAAACTGCAATAACCTAAATAAAAAGAACTTGAAACTATGTTATACCCAATCTAATCAATCAGTTACCTAATTCTTCGAAAGACGTCATAACACGTAAAAACATAAAATATAAATTAAAAAATACGTGTGGCACTCGGTGACTGCCGCGGTAAAGCTATTGCATAGCATTTATTTATCAGCTTATGCAATTATAATTATTTATTTATTTTATTTATGCAGTTAAGTCTTTGATATTAAATCAAGTTACACTTTTGAGCGTGGTGACCGATAAGAAAACAATTTTTTTCTCTTATTGAGTAAATGAGAAGTTAATATTCTTTAAAATATTTTTAATATCTTACAATACATGTAGGTTATTCAGGAATTTTTATCATTGAGTTAGCAGCTAGTGTACACGCATACGTCTAGTCGCACGCACACAAACACCGTGCCGAAGTCTGCCGAGTGCCGAAGTCTGCCGAGTGCCGAAGTCTGCCGAACTGAAACGACGTTAGACGATGCACGGCTTTCAACGCCACACCTCCGTGCCCGTCGGAGTGGGGAGCGTGAGGTTTTTTTTCGTTACGGAATTTCTGGATTCGGTCCCCGCGCTCAAGGCCCGCGATAGAAGCTATGCAATATCTTAAAATCTTTTATATACAATTAACTCTTACTAAATACTTGTAACACTTAAAACAACTTCTCGTTCTATGTTATTGCTTTACTTTACCAACATATTATCTTACTATAAATTTATGAAAATATATGTTATAATCAATCTGTATCACGATTATTCACAGAATTTAATAAGTTCACTATCTGATTTTACGCTCATCGCTTAAAACTATTTTATATTTTTGTACCCACAAACAGTTTGTCAATTAGAAACATAACATTTAATGCATCTAATTTAAGTTGATAATAATATTAATGTAACTTTGGTAATGTAATGTATTATAAAGTGTTAATTAGAATAATGTGTAGAATAATGTGTCGACAGCAATGGTGTACGGGTAATGAGTTTGTGTTTACACTAAAACTATTCATCTTTGATCATCATTCTTTAATCATAAATTTCTGAAATAAATAAATAAATAAATAAAAATGAATATAAATCTTTTGAGCCATTCTCAAGCGAGAAGGAACTAACTAATAAGGAGTTGGCTGATGTGAACTTGATACACGTCGAATATGGACGATTTAATGTTTTTAATCTTTTAAGGCCCTTTCTTAGTTCTTTAGCTTAAATAATTTTAAGATGCTACCAACAGCTTTCGATTGTTCTAGTCAGTATTCATCCTTCCAAGAGACACCTAAAAGGTCTAAATTACTAAATAAACGCAACTTAAATAACAGTCCTTACTAAAGCGACAACGTCATAAATATAACAAACGGCCTATAACTTAACCTTGAAAAAGACCAATAGCGGTTTGTATGGGTCTTTCTACACAGAGTGTGACCTATGGTGTTCTTAGCATTTCGGATGACTAACATATCTAGGAAAGCTAAGGAATTATTTGACATTAACTCCATAGTAAATTGTATTTTAGAGTTTATGGTATCAAGATGATCTAAAAATGCAGTTAGCTACTTTGTCTGATGGTAAAATGGTTAAAGTATCGATACGATACTTTCACAATATTAGCATTACCATTTTTGATCTTCATTCATTCATCATTTCATTTTCATTTTACTATTTTTGAAATTTTAAAACATCCCAATTTATAATAGAGAATGTAATTAATGAAATGTATTGAAATAATACTAGTTTTTACGGAATTTATCGCGTATATTTTAACTTTTTAAATACCCGACGTTTCGAACGCTTTACAGCACTCATGGTCACGGGCAAGACTGAGATGTTCAACGTCCATATGTCATAGTTAACCGCGGTTACCATAGATTAAAATTTAACTTTTGTTCCGATCTATGCAGTATGAACTTATGGTATCTTGAAGTCTTGCAGTTGTATGCTTGGGTTGGGATTTAATTTTATTTATTATAGGATCCCAAGCAGATGGTAGCACCCAGCCATCTTCTCTATTGAAATTAGGATGTTTTTTGATTTCAATAGCCTCGCGAATCATCCTTGGAAGGAATCGGTGTTCTTTAGCGAGGATCTACGGTCTATCAAATCTGATGTAGTGACGGGGGGCGATCCTGTACGTGTTCACAGACTGCAGACTTCCCGGAGCGTCGATTCTTCACATCAGCTATATGTTCTTTAACGCGGGTTTTTATTGATCATTTAGTTTGTCCTATGTAGGAGAGACCACATTCACAATCAAGCTTGTACACTCCTGCATCTTGCAGAGGGACATTACACTTGACCGATGGTAAAAACTGACCAATCTTCTTCAGTGGCTTGAAGTATGTTTTGATGGAAGCGCGCTTCAAGATGTAGCCAATCTTGTCAGTGACTCCTCTAACATATGGCAGTAC